CTCGTTCGGTACTTTATACTTAAATCTGTACATTTACTCAATAATTAAATCTGCAATCATACTGTAAGCTTAAATCTGAACTTGTGCTATATAACTACTGTAAATCTGAACTTGTGCTATATAACTACTGTAAATCTGAACTTGTGCCGTACATGGAAATCTATACTTGTACTCAATGTTTAAATACGTGCTTGTACTCTAAACCTAAACTTTTACCATTATTTGTATATCTGAACATAACTCAAAGCTGTCGTTATAAGAGCAGTGACAAGTAGAGCAGGGACACACACACACACACACACACACACACACACACACACACACACACATCGGCCGGGCGGTTGAGAACACTATTAATACAAACATCACGTGGTTGATAAGTAGTATTTATTACTTAAAAAGTCACGAGTACTGACGACTTTGCGGCGGCGTGAAGTAAGGTCTCTTTTCATCTGTACTCTACTAATTTTTCAATGATAAGAGTAATCTCTCAAAGCCGGATGCTGTAGCAACTGCTCCTGTGGTGGCGTAGTAGTAGTAGTAGTAGTAGTAGTAATAGTAGTAGTAGTAGTTAGTAGTAGTAGTGGTAGTAGTAGTAATGGTGGTGGTGGTAGTAATGATGGTGATGGTAGGTGGTGGTGGTGGTGGTGGTAGTGGTAGTGGTAGTGGTAGTAGTAGTAGTAGTAGTAGTAGTAGTATTAGTAGTAGTAGTAGTAGTAGTAGTAGTAGTAGTAGTAGTAGTTGTGATCATCATATATACCTATGTCTATTACGACTAACTGACCTCCCTTATAGGTCAAGCGAAGGCGATCTTTTTATAAGCCAAATGTTTTTAGTACTGGAGGAAACTGAAATTACCTGGAGAAAATTTGTAATGTTCGGTAAGGTCAAAGTGGACAACACTCTTCTCACATCTGACCTAAGTGGTAATCGAACCCGGATCGCGAAGGTGAGAAACAAGTGAACTACCAAGCCGTATACCCCGATTACTTTTAGCTGTCAGTGGTGGTGGTGGTGGTTGTGATGGTAGCTGGAGTGACAGTGGTGATAGGTGCGGTGGTGTGACGGTGGTTGTAGTGGTGGTGGTGGTGATGGTGATAGTGATGGAGGTGGCGTGAGCTTCTCCTAGCAAGGACACACACACTTATTAGCCTGGGTGAGAGGGAACGAGTTGATCCCCGCCTACGTCATCTCCCCTTAATATTACATAAGGTATATATAGAGACAGCGATACAGTGACGCAGTTATACAACACAATGATACAGCAATACAGCCACACAGTTATACAGCGATACAGTTTGTTCTAAAATTGTACAGTATTTCAGTTGAAAGGAAAGGTACAGTCAGATACAATAAGCTATTAGAACGTCATCACATAAATGTATATCAGCAGGAACTGTAACACTAACCAAGCGTCCCGAAAAAAGGAAGTCCAAGAAAGCGTCGTGGTTGGGTTATTACGAGACAGCGTATATAACGAGAGAACAAACTCCCTTACGTGGATTAAACATTCTTACTCAGTCACTCAAAGCAAGGAGAGATGTAGGCTGACTAATGCAACCAGGAATATAAACATCCTCAGCCCACACGACGAGGCTAAGGTGAGCCCTTCAACTGTATAAACAAGAATTAGGTACAGTACTGCATATCCGGGGACATATGTGAAAGTTAAGTATATACTATAATGAACACTCGCGGAGAAAAGTATTAAACATACATAAATTGATACACATTACTGCTATTTGCTTCAGAACATAATATAGTCGTTACAAAATAAAGAACTTCAAATACATGTTTTGATACTGTATACTGTATGTAAACATTCAAAGAAACAAATGCCTTCACACACACACACACACACACACACACACATGCATGCATATGTGCACAAACTACAAGCACCCAGATACGCATAAGATTGCGAAGCAAAAACTCAGTACGTATCAAGGAGTTGTCCGACCTCACCACAGCTCTCACAGTCGTCCTTGGTCACCCCCAGCCGTCACTCACTTCCTTCATCCTTCTACCGTTACAATTTCTTAAATATAATTAACACAGATACCGTATGAAATTCACCTCCATTTTTAGACTTTAAATTACTAAAAAATAAATAAGTTTTTCCCATTAATAAAACCTTAGTAAAACGATAATGCATTTGTTATCCTATTATCAAGGACTTCCAGAAACTGTCTTGGTATTATGAGTCACAGTCGTAAGTCATCAGAGAAACATGGACACAAGTCTGTTTGGAAGAATCTAATAGGAAGTAAGAAAATAAATCATCATGGGAGATCTTCACCTTAAGCAAGAGACACTGTTGCAAGGGATGAGGAAGTGAAAGGTCATCTTGCAAGGAGAGCGGATCAACATTCAATAGCTGGTGTGAATTAAGTTTCTCGATAGGTTTTAAGAGACAGAAAACAACGAGGGTTACTGTCTACTGTATATGTGTCATTCCACTGAGTGTATTATTTCATGTCATTCCTGAAGGCAGTTTAGTCCGGGTCACTGAGCAGATCAAGTGGAGGGAGGAGGGTGGGGTGGGTGCTAACGAGCCATCAAGAATTAATTACAAAATTTTACCCCATATCAGCGTCAATCAAAGGTGTTGAGGCTGGAGAGGCGGCGAACACATGACACATAGGTTGAGGGTGAACACTTAACACATTGGTTGAGGGTGAACACATAATATATTGGTTGAGGGAGTACACATAACATATTGGTTGAGGGAGTACACATAACACACTGGTTGAGGGTGAACACATAACATATTGGATGAGGGAGTATACATAACACATTGGTTGAGGGTGAACACATAACACATTGGTTGAGGGTGAACACATAACACATTGGTTGAGGGTGAACACATAATATATTGGTTGAGGGAGTACACATAACACATTGGTTGAGGGTGAACACATAATACATTGGTTGAGGGAGTACACATAACACATTGGTTGAGGGTGAACACATAACACATTGGTTGAGGGTGAACACATAATATATTGGTTGAGGGAGTACACATAACACATTGGTTGATTTGGTTGAGAGTGAGCACATAATATATTGGTTGAGGGAGTACACATAACATATTGGTTGAGGGAGTACACATAACATATTGGTTGAGGGAGTACACATAACACATTGGTTGAGGGAGTACACATAACACATAGGTTGAGGGTGAACACATAACATATTGGTTGAGGGTGAACACATAACACATTGGTTGAGGGTGAACACATAACACATTGGTTGAGGGTGAACACATAACATATTGGTTGAGGGGGTACACATAACATATTGGTTGAGGGAGTACACATAACACATTGGTTGAGGGAGTACACATAACACATTGGTTGAGGGAGAACACATAACACATTGGTTGAGGGTGAACACATAACATATTGGTTGAGGGTGAACACATAACACATTGGTTGAGGGTGAACACATAACACATTGGTTGAGGGTGAACACATAACATATTGGTTGAGGGAGTACACATAACACATTGGTTGAGGGTGAACACATAACACATTGGTTGAGGGTGAACACATAACATATTGGTTGAGGGAGTACACATAACACATTGGTTGAGGGAGTACACATAACACATTGGTTGAGGGAGTACACATAACACATAGGTTGAGGGTGATCACAGAATACATAGGTTGAAGGTGAACACATAACACTTAGGTTGAGGGTGAACACATAACACTTAGGTTGAGGGTGATCACAGAATACATAGGTTGAAGGTGAACACATAACACATAGGTTGAGGGTGAACACAGAATACATAGGTTGAGGGTGAACACATAACACTTAGGTTGAGGGTGAACACACAACACATAGGTTGAGGGTGAACACAGAATACATAGGTTGAGGGTGATCACAGAATACGTGAACTGAGTACAGTGTTCTTCCCCTAAACTCCAGCAAGTGTTCGGTGCACACAGATGAACACCCAACGAAGAAACACCAGGACCAAGATGTCCGTGAAGGCATCGCCGGCAGTTCAACACGGAGCCCGGAAGTTCAGCTGAACGGAGTCATGATGTGAGAGCGGCTCCGTGACGCTGCTGGGCGGAGCAAAGATTCATGAGCGAAAAAAAAAAGATTGTCTCAAAAACCTTGGCTCAGCGAGGAAGGGAAGGGAGAAAGGGAAGGACGGATGGAGGTGAGGGGAAATGAAGGGGACATAGAAGGGGAGGAAAGGGGAGAGAAAAAGAAGTTAGAGGAGGGAGAGGAAGGAAAGGGAAAAGGGAGGGAAGGGGAAGGTGAAATGGAGGGAAATATAAGGATGGGGGGAAATAAGGAGTGGGGAAAGAAGGAAGGGAGAATGAACGGGAGAGGAGAAAGAGGAGGGAGGGGAGGGAGGAATGGAGGAAGAAAAATAGGGGAGAGTAACAAGAAAAAAGTCAAGAGGAAAAAATCCATTATGTGTGTGTGTGTGTGAGAGAGAATGTTACTTCATGTGCGTAGTCAGCGTGTGCATTTGTATATACGCCATTAAGGCACGGGAATAAACATAATTTTGCAACGTTGACAAACCGGAAGTTCATGTGACTATGAATGTACTTATGTAGCAAATCCTTCGTCTGTTATGTCATATTGTCTCACAAAATGGTTTAGGATACATTCTGGAGAGAGTATACGTATGTGTTAGCGTGTGTATGTAAAGCTGAAAGCGGGATATAAACAAACATATCACCAAAGCTCCCGACAAGAACTAATGGTCCAACTTTAGTGAAACTTACTCCCAGAGAGACAACTACTTCATGCCCAGGGTACCTCTAGTCGACCTAAGTCTGAAGACGTATACCCTACTTACATGCCAGTATACTGTATCCGCACAGCACCTAACGGGATGTCAGACCTATGAGACCCACTTTCATTTTCGTAAGTATCACCGTACCTTATATGTAAACAAGAAAAGTGCAGTCGTTGATACCTGTATAAAAAAAATAAAGTCAAGGACAAAAAATAGGTGAAATTTTGTTTACCTCTACTTTCTGCAGGTGTTTACGACTCGTCCACAGCGATAAGTTACGCCATGATGCCATTCGCTGAAGTCGTTTGTTGGAATGTCCTCAGCGCTCCATATAATAAAACCAATCACTGAAATATAAGTCCGAGTTTAACAAGAATGAACTACTGACCAATGTCATCCGAGCCTAAACTTCATTATGACCAGTATATATCGCAGTGGTTGTTTTGCTAAAATCAGTGCTGGTTGCAGTTTTGGTATTTTAGTTTCGGTCATCTGGGAAATCTTAGGAATTTAACCCCCAACAGAAAGGGAGGGTCGAGGGGCCAAGCCCCCTCTGTTCGGTTAGATATAATTCTTGGGTTAAGTGACTAGGTTAGGTTGGTTTGGTTGGATATCTAAATACAGTGATGATCAAAACTGAAATTTTACCGCAATTTTCACCAAAGCTACGAAACCAGTGCCTTCTTGCCGTGACCTTAGTAAATTCAAGGGTAATCTTTTCAAATTTCTAACACGATCATGGAAAAGACTCGTAGTTGTTAAGGCTAAAAACACGTATTAGTTTAAGCTAAGAAGAAAGACAAAAGAGACATTTAGAATAGTTTTAAAAATAAGAATACAGCATCAGAAAAAAAATTAAAGCTAGCAGAGTTAAAATTAGTAATAGCGGTTAATAATACGGGACACTATACTCATTTGTTTTCTAAATTTAACTAATCCGCTCCTACCAAAAAAAATGAAATTGTCGGTCAATACAATATCCGTTATGCATTGTGAATCTGTAAGACAAAATACGACGTAATAGAACGCGAATCTTTAAGCACCACAGAAGACGGTTACTTAACATAAATCACCTAATAGTCAAATATTCCTGAGTCAAACTGCCCTTTCTAGCCAGTAGCCACTAGCCAGTCGGGAATTGGGATCACACCACTGCCCTGTACCTTGGGTCGCTGTTCTGCTCAGTTGTAGCCAGTGGTTCAACAGAGTGCATGCATGAGCGATGAACCAAACGGTACTGGAATCGCTTATTTTTGGCAGAAACAAACTTAATATTGGTATAAGTAAGAGGTTTCTACTGAAATTCACGTTTCCAATGAGGTATGTGTTATACTCTATTATTCTTTGTCGTATTTAGAGGCTGCTATTCATTTTTTGTTCATGTGATGATCGTCTGTAAACGTATGATTCACTTAATCTGTATAGTTGCATGCCTTGAGTTAGGACGGAAGCTCATATACACAAACTATTTCGCCATTGTATTCCATTAAGGTGTACAATACCGTTCTGTGTTGATGTTAATCCTGTACTCTAGTGGTCAGCCCATTGTACTCCAAGGCTTGCAGTACTGCGCTCAGAAACTTCAGGTCCGCTTTAATAAGGAAATATATGAATGGCCAAGAGGCATAATTTTAAACATTACATTATCCTACGCCAGGAGTTAAATGAATCTATTGCAAGGAGTTACTGTTTCGTCTCGAGGAGTTACTGTGTCGTCTCAATGAGTTAATGTGTCGTCTCGAGGAGTTACTGTGTCGTCTCAAGGAGTTACGGTATTGTATTCACAGAGGTAAAACATTGCTCCCAGTCACATTTACATACCTAATGACGGAGCTTCGTACTCATAGGGTACAGAGATAATGTTTTAGAACAATCGTAGAGAACATTGTATTTTCCTAAGGATTTTCACTAAAATATTTTTGATTCATTGACCTATTCTAAGTAGATTAATTTAATAGCAAGCTGAAATTTACTAAATTTACTAATCCCTTTACTTTCAATTTATTCATAGGAAGCTGTAAGTATAGGCCATAATGGTCTCCACACCTTTGATGAGTCTGTAAACTGAAAATCACTGAGGTTTTCGTGTCAACAGGAACGAACCACCGAATATTGCCCCACACACCTGTATTTATTCGGATAAAATTAAATAGTTCAATGATGGAGTTTGCCAATTCACCGAAGCATCGAACCTGTAGAGTAAAATCGAAAAGTTAATAAGAAAAAAATCGAAAAAAAAAGTCCGACGGAAACGCTACATTTTTTCTCTCTCCCTATTTAAGAATTAATATAAAGTTCCGTGATGGCAACTACGGAATATTTACCGTGATCGCAACTAAACTTTAACTTAACCGAAAACTAATTTGGAGAACCACCGAATCATCACATATTTTCGAACAAGGAATCTATTTCTCTCCAGTTATATCTAAGACGGGTTTGGTTTTATAATAATTTCAGTTAGATTTTGTTATTCTCCTTAAACTGACTTTTTTAATCAGTATAAACGTTTTGGTGACTATTCTGGAGCCTCGAAGTATCACCGTACCTTATATGGAAACAAGAAAAGTGCAGTCGTTGATACCTGTATAAAAATAAATAAAAAGTCAAGGACAAAAAATAGGTTAAATTTTGTTTACTTCTACTTTCTGCAGGTGTTTACGACTCGTCCACAGCGATAAGTAACGCCATGATGCCATTCGCTGAAGTCGTTTGTTGGAATGTCCTCAGCGCTCCATATAATAAAACTAATTACTGAAATATAAGTCCGAGTTTAACAAGAATGAACTACTGACCAGTGTCATCCGAGCCTAAACTTCATTATGACCAGTATATATTGCAGTGGTTGTTTTGCTAAAATCAGTGCTGGTTGCAGTTTTGGTATTTTAGTTTCGATCATCTGGGGAATCTTAGGAATTTAACCCCCAACAGAGAGGGAGGGTCGAGGGGCCAACCCCCCCTCTGTTCGGTTAGATATAGTTCTTGGGTTAAGTGACTAGGTTAGGTTGGTTTGGTTGGATATCTAAATACAGTGATGATCAAAACTGAAATTTTACAGCAATTTTCACCAAAGGTACGATACCAGTGCCTTCTTGCCGTGACCTTAGTAAATTCAAGGTAATCTTTTCAAAATTCTAACACCAGATTCGTTAACTAGAAGTAAATTCAAGTAATATGTTTCATAAACAAAACGATTGCAGTATCTTACTGTGGTGAATCAAACAGTGACTCGCTTAAAAGGTAAAATATGTGATGGTTTAACAATAACGTACACGAGGTAAAATTGTAAGCAAGGGAAAAACAGAGCAGTGGTTTGTCCTAGATGTGGAATTATCGATCAAAGATGATTAAACATCGACGTGTTCAAGGGGTAGAATTGTCGTACACATGAGATTGAAAAGCACAACTCGCTCTAAGAGGTACACTTATCGTACACATGAGATCAAACAAAACGTGATCTAAAAGATACCGTGATTGTACATAAGAGATTAAACAATGGCACGTCCAAATGAATAAAATAATCGTACGCAGGGCGGTAGAAGTGAGGAGTTCGAATGGTACAATTATTCCACAAAAAGAAGTCATCGTACTCTAGAAATTAAAGTGACGAGTTCAAAGGGCAGAATTATCGTTCAAATGGTAGAATCATCGTACAAGAGGTAGAATTATCGTACATATTTCTAATAGGGGCGTGTTCAAAGGACAGAATCATCGTACTCAGGGGATTAAGCAATGACATGTTTTCGCCATGTGACGTGTCAGCGGAACCATGTGTGCTAAAATTTTGCTTCTCATGAATGTTGGCGGCAGTCATGTGAGATGGGATGAGTGCGCGTGTGTAGTGCTCTGGGACACACCTGTATTGATCATCTCCGCCTGGCATGATGGGCAGGTAGTCAGCATATATTGGTCGTAATCCAAACGAGGGAGTGTGTATAGCTTCTGTATCCGTTTTAATGTCTGCATTGCTTAGTAGTACTAATGATGAAAGAAAGTGGGTATTTGTGTATGTGTTAGTGTCAAAAATATATATATTTGTCGTACTAGGCAGAGGAGAGTGTGTGCGCCCTGTATATTTTAATGTCAGTACAGATTGGCAGTACTGTTGAAGAGGGAAAATGTGCATTTGTTTCCCATGCCCGTTCGAATGTTTGTATTGCTTGATGGCTCGATTGACGAGGAAAATTCTGTTGTTGTTTTTTTCTGTTTGCGTTTTTTGCTGTTAGTGACTGTATAAATATTTATTACAGGCCAAGGAAATTATTTTTTCCTGTTTGTCTGTTTGAATGTCAGTATACAGGGCACATCACTTGCACAACAACCTGCCAGGAAAGTGGTTTCTCTATTTGAAATTCAGTAGTATAGACTGGTGGTAGTACGGGCCAGGCAAAACGTCAATTTCTTACCACCGTCTGTTTGAATGTGGTGTTCAAAGGTACGCAGTGGCTTGCCATTATGGGGATTAATTGTACTGTACTACCAGTGTTTTAATGTCAATAGGAAACGGTCTTCAATAAAAGGGAAAAATATAGTTTCGTTATCTCGTATTTGTGTGTTCGACTGTAATATGTCCTAATGTTTGATGATAATTATATTAATGGATTCATTGTCCCACGTTAATGCTAGAGTGAATCATTAAACAGGAGAGTGATAGGTATAACAGATTAATAATCCGGGAGAAAGTATAGTTTCTTTAGAACAGTGAGTGGATGTCGTATTATGTGTGCTTTTACAGAATCAATGAGTCAATATAGCAAAGGTGTGAATCTATACTTAGGTGAGCTTACAAGTAATAAATACATACTTAGGTGAGCATTACAGTAATAAATACAAGATATCCTGTTCTGAGTCTTATTGATTGGTTAGATCCGGATAGCTATAGATAAGGCCTGGGAGCAAAGTCGCAACGAACAGTTTTTTTTAGTATGCTGAACCGGGACACTTAGTGGTGCCAGCAGCAGACTGAGCGGAAGGCGTGATGCTGACGTGATACTGACGTGGGTGAACGTAGTGAGTTGTAGTGGTTACTCTGATGGCGTTGAGGATAGTGAGGTATGGCGGAGGTGACGCTGACAGTGTGGCGGAAGAGGAGGGTCCTATCCATGACACCCACTTACTGTACTAAAATGATTGTGGGGTTTCAGAAAGACTTTAACTCCACATTAATTGCAGTAATATAAATCATGCAACACATGTGAAACGCTGACCTTAGAACAGGGGTCCCCACTTCCCCACCACATAGTGCTGTTCACTTGTGCCACGCTACACAAATTCCCTCAACTAATATGTAATTGGAATGAATGTGTAGCTTTGTTTGTTTTTTCCACATAATAAATTTAATAGCAAACATTGTTATGGGTAAAAAAGTAATATGGATGATATTCAAGACCGCGGGTATCGGGGTTGGGTGCAAATGGGACTGCCCAGTATGGGTCAATAGGCCCGCGGCAGTTTCCTCCATTCTTATTTTCTTAACCTTAAAGTACTGAATGACAAGCGTCCAAATGAATGTTATTCTTGATACCGTATTTTTTTTAATATAAATTCAGGATACTGAACATAAATTCCTGGTTGGACAAGTAAGAATATTATGTACTGGCCGTCTTGTTTTAATTTTACCGAGAAATGGATACAAGAGGACTCGTGCAACTGTCAACCTCATCAATGCATTAATTATGGTCGCCAAAATAACCCGTCGAAAGCAAACCAGGAGTGACTGCCGTGGCAAGATGGCCTCTCATGTCTCTAGTTAGGATAAAAATAAGGCACACGTGTTCGATAATTTTTAAATCAAAATTCTTTGCTGCATTCATTCATTAATTTAAAGTACGGAACCCGCCTCGAGGGGAAAGAGAAAAATGTGAATATGGAAAGACCCGGGGAAAGATAGAGAGGGGAGAAAATTAATTATGATTGAATGTAACGTGTTCTGGGGCTTTATTCAGCATTCATTTTCTTGTGGGATGGAGGGCTGGGCATGGGAAGTATAGCAGGGATCAAGGGTGGGAAGTTAGCGTCAGCAACGGTTAGTGCGACCATCGTAAAGACGTGGGGGTATATCTCCACTTTCCCGGTTACATACCCCACTGAAAAAACCATACATCAGATTTCATACTAGTGGGGAATTAAGACTGCGCCCAGCTTAGCCAGCTGGCTCAGCTAATGTGACAAAAAAGCTGGTAACCTTAATAGCTACAAAAATATGAGGTTGTATAACTATAGTTACATTCTTGCTTCTCCACTTAATGGGAAAAAAATATCGCAGAAATCTGAGAAACTGAACGAGACTGCTCGCGTTTCAGCCCTCCAGGAGGCTCGAGGGAGGGTTAAAAGTGAGGTACTGCAACCCCGAATTTTTACTGGTCGTTCGCGGCCTCCAGGTACACAACGCAATGCACTCAGAGCCGTTTTCCCAGGCTGGTGTTGATGTGAGTGAGTTAGCAGCAGGAAAAAAGGTGGGGGAAGACCGCATACAGTATTATAGTTGGATGATGATGAAACGAGAACATCTGTCACTCAGGTTCAACACTTAAAGTTAAAAGGGGATTTGAAGCACCTATATTGGAAATAGAGCCAATTTAAATTAAACGTGACAAGAAATTAAAAAGTTCAAAATAATAAAGGTCCACGAATTTATAAAGAAAAAATGTATGAATGTTTTTTATCAAAACCTTGAAGGAGGCTGCATCAGTTGAGGGCTCTTCCGTGTCATCCAGGTGATGTTAATTAACCTAACAGGCCAACACAAACCTCAGATCACAAACCAGTCGTCGCACCACTCCGCACGTAGTTCAATTAGAGGGTTACAGGGCCTCCAGGGTTCAAGGGTGACAAGTTGAATTTATTATCCTAGGGAAATGATCGTGGCTTTCTTGGATAAAATTGGATTACCTGGTTACTGATAGGACATGATGAACGTGGAGCAACATATGTACACGCAATCCAAAAAGTATCTGCACATTAGGTCCGATGACTTCCTAAATGATCAATACACTTACGCCGCAATGTAACCACCAACATGAACCACTATACTGGGATAACTCCATCCAACTAATGTAATACTGACGTACCAAATTTTTAAAGAGAAAGTACTGTTTTGCTCGACATTATGATTCAACCCAGACGAGATTACACTTAGAGAGGTGGAGGTTTCCCGGAGCCATGAAAAGGTAAGGAATAAACAATTTACAGGTACCCGAAAGGTTAGCGGGCCGTCAGGAGGGTACAGACACCACACAAAGAACACTCACTGCACACAAATCGTCACAAAATTATACATTAAAATATCTCTTTCTGTCTTTCTTTGTTTAATTCATGTCAAAAACTCAACTTTCCTCAGATAGGAAAATTAGAATTTTTGTCAGTAAAATCATCATACACGTCCATATTGGTTCATCATGTCCATAGACCGTGTAGTTACACAGTATACATATACAGTACAAGTGTACGTGCAAACGGAGGCAAACCTCAAGTCGATTTAAAATTAAGATGGCCCAAGAAAGCATAATTATTAGGTTCTTTCTGCTTATTGAATGTTTTGCATTGTACTTATCATCCAATATGTAACTAACAATATCAGAGAAGGATCTTAAGAGAATCCACAAATAATAAGCATTTTTTTTCCTTTTTTGCAAGGGAGGTTCTTGTATGTGCGACATATGTACTGTTTAACTTGCCTGTTGGTGGAGTTGGCTGGGGCCTGGGGTTCTCGTAGTACCGGTATACTCTCAACAGACAAAGGAAGGCATCGGATTCTTCTATTAATCTAGTTTTACTGCACTTGTGTCCTTCCTTAAAGAACCGTTACACAGGTCTTGGTAAAACATGCATTCAAAACATAATATAGAATAATACTTAATTAAATAATTGTTACTAAAATTAAATAGATATAAAGTAATACAAGTCCCTCGGCCCTAAGGGCATCTAACTTCTTCAATCTTAAATGAGTTTTTAAGGATTCACAAGTATTTTAAGGATAGATAGTACCGTAAGTTATACTTTCGTTATTCGTGAATTCAATTCTTACCGTCATAGGGACTCGAGAAGCCTTTGGGATATTATATAACATTTAAGTCTCACCGGTCACTCCAAAAGTATTCACCGTGGACTGAAAACCATTTTTAGATATGCAGATACAAAATCATTATGGTGTCATTCATATTTTCTTTTAATATAGACCATTGTTTTATACCCCGTATATTTGTAAAGGATCCAATATTTTTCCGCCTTAGCAAGTAGTGCGGTCATCTACCTTATGTCATTATTCAGCTAAAGTCGTGTTTAATTTAATGTTTTTTGCATCAAAACGGGTTATTCATTTAAATTCAGGTATATTTTATTTTTTGAGCAAATTCTCTATTGACTGAAAGTAAGCAAAACAAAGATGAAACAGGGTTTTAAACATGGGAGTGTTGGCGAAGGAATACTGCGTACTGCGGCTCCCTCCTACTCAGGGCTACCAACGGCCGGTAGATTTTCAATTCATAAAACAAGAAAGCCATATGATCATATTGAAAGAAACGTGTAGTTAATCTGATATTTGAGTGCATGTAAATTACTGAGAGATATCAAATATAGTGAGTTTAATTAATTCCTTTAGTAATTGCACCTGTAAACAGGTGATAATTTGTAAACAGGTGAATACAAGAGAAGCAATTTATTTCATAAGAAATTAATGTCAGCCAATTGTATCATTATGAAAGTAAATAAATAAAATAATTTTTAGCATCAATCATTCATTTCTAACTCTATCATGGGAATAACCCCCTTAAAGTTTAACCCCTAAAATCCACTCCTGGTTGGCAGCTCTGTAACACCCTGTAGTCAGCCATGATGCTTCTGCAGAATCACTTTCCTGAGTGAATGAAACATAATTTTCTGAAAATCCTTCAACAAATAACTAAGATGGGAGTGTAACAGTGCATAAACGGTATTTTAAATACATTGCCAAGATTAATTTCATACGAAGAGGATCCAGAAGGAGTGGTAAGCGATAAAAACTTTCCAATCGTATTGGGAAAGTTTCTGACGAAACGAAATTGGCAATGGAAGTCCCAGAGTTTGTTGCACCCTGGAACGGCCTTGGCCTTTAGTTGTTTTTGGCAGGACCGGTAGAAAATTGTGCATCTTCTAGGGCCCTAAATGTCAGCCCTCAAAGTGCCTGGAAAATGTTTAAAAATGTGTTGTTCAAGACACGGTTGGTGTGCGCAATTTAGTTGGTGTAGAAATCAGCTGATGTTAGAAAACGGTGTGGCAAGTTCTCAGTGTAGTGAGCACTAACATGGACTGGTGTAGCCGAAACCCGCAGTGTACCGCAGCCTACCACTATAGTTATGTTGGTGCTCGTATAATGATTAATACGGTGTCGAAACTGAGAACACAGTGATGAAGATAGCAGTGTTTTAACGTTGTGAGGTTCGAGTTATCCTAGGGTTGCTTTGTTTGTGAAGTTCAGAGTTCACTCCGTAAAAACAATGTTATTTCAGGAGGGTATATGAGAAAAAAGAATATAGATTATACATGGTGTCATAGCATGCAAGGGGTTTTAAAATTGGTCAGATTTTTTACTTTTAAATTAATTTTGAAAATCTGGAAAAAATTTTTTGTCAAGGTTAGCACTTAATTGTTTGCTGCCTTAATGCATAGATTTAAAAGAAAAAGAGTTGTGGCGGGGACAGGTAAGCTAAAGTTCGAATTAACATTGATTAAGCCATGTGGTTGAGAGTGCTGTAAGAGGTAATTTATTTTCCTGTACGTTCCAATAATATATTTAGGATCTTGACTTGCATCATAATTTATTTTTCATGTTCAGTGGTTCTTTTCTGCCCAAACCAAGCACAGTTAGTGATGGTTTTGTTAATTTGTTGAAGGTGTGGAGGACATTGCCAGCTGGCTAACTCTCAGTTAAGTTCAAGATAATTGTAACACTGAGGATGGTTGCATGTCTGAAACAGCAATTTGTGGATATTTGTCTATAGAAGGTAAAGTTATAGTACAGATTTGTTGTGCCTTACCTACCTAGTGTAGAACGTCTCACCATGAAAATATATGATTTCTTGCTTCATGAAATTGACAAAGTGCACGAGTGTTTTAAGTAATATATATTTTACTTTTTTTTCCCTTCGGAACACCATTTTAGATAACTCTACAAGCGCTTACTTCAACCTTCGCAGTGCCCATGACTCAATCTCCACTTCCCTGAAGGCTGATTGGTTCCTTTCACAATTGTTTTTCTTCTAAGATTGTGATAGAAGATCTATTCATTTATAGTAGGTTTGTTCGAGTTGGTTTAAATTATAAAAGTTAACTTTTAGAAGCATTGTGGTAGTTGCTGGTACCTTTGTGCTAGTTGAATGGTTCCTTTCATATAAAATTTGGCATTGGATATTTTGCTTTGACCGGTTAAGTTCCTATTAATGCTATTTTACCATGAGTGCGCTCTGATTGGCTTATCGTCCATTACCGGCAAACAACATGAGAACTATATTTGACCGTGACTGGCAGCATTTGGCATTTACTTAGCTGCGAGTCAATCTTTGTGTAGCTGTAAACATACCTAACCATATTTCTGTTGTGCATGGAAACTCATCATTATAAAAGAGGCAACATTCACTAGAACCTAGTAGAGCCTAACCTAACCAACCAAAGAAACCTACCTAACTTCCTAGCCGGGGGTGGACCACATCATAATAAACAGAAGGTACTTTGCTAATCAGAGTGCTCTCTCGGTCACAGCAAAATATCCACTACGATAAAATAATTAATGAACAAGCAAAGCTAATATTTCGAGTTAGATTAGGTATGGTTTGGTTTGATTAGGCTGGTTCAGTAGCAGTGAGAACATAAGAATGGAGGAAACTGCAGCGGGCCTATTGGCCCATACTGGGCAGTCCTGTTTACACCCAACCCCTATCACTCGTATATCCATACAACCTATGTTTGAAGCTATCCAGCATATTCGAGATGTTTGGTAACTTGTTCACTCATCCACTACTCTATTTCCAAACCAATGATTTTTTTTATCGCATCTAAATTTGTCTAATTTAAAACCATTACTACGAGTTCACTCCTGGTTGGATAGTTTGAGTACCTTTGTTATATCACCTTTGTTTAGCCCTGACTTCCATTTATACACCTCGATCATATCGCTCCCTGTCTTTCGAGGGAGTGCAAATTAAGATGCTTTAACCTGTCTTTGTAATCAAAAGTTACTAATGCCCAGGATTAGTCTTGTCATTCTCCTCTGAATTCTTTCTGGGGGATTCTATATCCATTCTGTAGTACGGTGACTAGAACTGAACTGCTTAATCCAAGCGAGGTCTCGCAAGTGCAAGATATAGTTTTAGCATAACGTCGTTAGTCTTATACTAACACACCTTTATATGAACCCAAGTACCTGTACTTAGTTAGCCTTGTTTCGAGCAAATAAACGTTGTTGACTTGGTTTAAGATTGGGTAATTTATGAGAACACAGCTAGTACCAGAAGTAGTTGTTCGATTTCCTTCATTTTTTCCCACAATGTTCTTATCAATATTGTCAATATTTATAAAAGAAAAAAGTGACAACTTTTATTTAAATTATTAGTATTTTTGTTTTGTTTTTTAGTTTTCTCCATCTACAATCATAAATCACCTGCAGCGGGCAGGGCATGAGGGTGGGGGAAATTGTGGGGTAAAACTTGGTGAAAACCAATCATATGACACTAAAATGATGTCTCTACATGCTTTGTACATGAAGAAATTAAATATTTTCCGAAAATACTCCTTCGTGTTGTCATCTGCTGTTTGTTTATGACCAACCTGCTCGGTCCAAGCGTACTCTCATGTCCACAAAAAACGTAAAATTACACCATGATGCTTCAACAGAGTTGCTTTCATTGGTATCAGTTATCAAAATAAGTACTTTCTGTTTAATATGGCAGGGGTTCTGCCCCCTGGCTAGGAAATTAGGTAGGATTCTTTGGTTGTCAGGTTCTAGTAAATGTTGCCATTTTTTAAAATATTTGCTAGAATGATAACATCTGTGGAAAGAATGAACAAAATTGAACAACTTCTGGTGGTATCAGTGTTCTCGTACAATACCGTATCATGGAAGTCGTTCCTGATATATTAATTGGTGCCAAAATTTGTATTCAGTTAAAAGTTTGCCACACTCCAGGAATAATGTCTTGTTCGGGCTGTTTTATCACTCTGTTCAAACTGTTTGGCTTTGTCCAACAAGTTCAAATTTCAAGATTTCTGATTTGACCACGTTCATATACATGCTGTCACTTTGAAATTAAAACAGTGTGGTGTCTTGACAGTGACTGGAGAAGCCTCATCCATTACCTGAACCTGGAAGAATTCGTAAAATTTATATCACAAAATTATCAAAATTCTATGGAAGAAATTTCGTTTCTAGCCACTTGAATATAATAAATGGCAGAGCTCACAAGATTTATGTTATACAATATATAATATTTATATTACATACAACCTTCAAAACAAACCTCACAAATCCAGAGAATAATAATTTTTATATCCCATTAATATCCTCTTAACACTTTTATGTTTGTTTGGTCATATGGTGTGACTTTTTTAAGGGAAATATTGTTGGGCCATCCTACTGATTTGGAAACGTTGGTAGCCCTGTCCGGAGAACCAGGATTCCAACCCATTGTAATGCCTGAATCACGTTCTTGAATAACCTCTCTCTGCTAGAGTTTTGAGTTCCCGGTTGTCAGGCTCACCGTCTGGCATGATGAATGTGAAAATTGCCCATAGTTACATGACTGAGATGTAAACAGTGTATCCCATCTAAATGTACTCTAACTTAAATAGAAAAGTAACAATAATGCTAAGGTGGAGCACTGAATCATGGAGTAATAATATTGATTATGAACACCTCTGTGACCGTCTTGACACCGAGCGTTGCTCATATCTTTATAACACTGATCTATTTATTTTTTCTGGGGTACCAACATATTTATGTTAATTTTTTTCACCTCTTTGCCACCAGAAATTATTCCAGATTGAAACTAGCAGCTCATGTAGCAACTGATATCCATATAGTACTGTACTGTACACGTATACAGTAATGTACAGTACAAAGTATTAGTGAAATCACAATGCTCTAGATTTACCAACTTCTCCACTATTGTATCGCCCAATCAACAGCTTTCTTTCACAACATCCATAGACTTAAGATGACTGGGTAAGGTGAAAAGAGTACAGTATAAGAAATTACTGGGTAAAATTATACAGGTACAGTCTCACCCAAAAGTTAGTTAACTCTCCCAGTCAGCTATTGCTGCACTGCCTGCTTCAGGTGTATGAACCTGAGTCTGTTACTTGGAACCTTTAGGTTCATTCTTAACAATTTCATGTTCTGGTTGGTACTGAGACAGTTTCAAACATCTGAAGCAGGCAGTGCAGCAATAGCTGGCTGGGAGAGTGAACTAACTTTTGGGGGAGACTGTACTAAACATAAAAATGATATCAGTGCGGTTTACAAATATACAGTAGTACAAATAGTTGACAATATTCTGTATGTATTATACATTTAGCAGGAGTACCCAATGCCCAGCTATGTAAGCTATTAATGATAGTCGGGGTATGTGGCTACGCAGGTACTTAAAAAAAGGATGACGGAATTGCAACTTTTCTACTTTTTTTTTATTATTTTTTTTTAATGGTAAATACAGTCCGCAGATGTCCGAGTGCCATGTTTGTAATTAAGCTAATGTCTTGCCTCCATGTGAGTAATCGTAATGCTAAGCAACTGAACACTTGCCATCGAACCTTCCATATGGTCTATTAACAAAATAATGCTCTAACCAACCTACCTAATAGCGAGATGTCACGGGTTCGATTCCCGGGCCAGTGGAAGTTGTTTGGACATACTTCCTAGCCCCCATTAGTCCCTGTTCACCTAGCAGTAAAGTAGATACCTGTTGTAAGTCGAAAGTTGCGAATTTGTATTCAGGGAAAGTTGTTGGAGCTTCCAATAACTTGATGACATAAACCATTGACTCTTCAGGCTTCTACACCCTTAACTCATGAGACACGAAGGCAAGCATGAACTTAGCATGCTTTCCTGTTGGGCGCTGTAAATGCTTCTGCGCTTCCTTACACAAGGATATAGGGGGTGCCCAATAAAAAAAAAACCTACCTAATCTAATAAGAAATAATGCACTTTATCATTGGATAGGTATGTTAGGAAGCTAGGTAAGATTGGTTTGTCGGTTTATCTTCTGATAATTCATTAGTCACTAGTTAGTTGAAAAAGATTTGTCTTCAACACCAAAAAAAAAAAAAATAATAATTTAAGATGCAAGAACATATTTTCTTCAATACTTCAGTTTCTCTCTCTAAATTGCTCATTTCCAACAGGATGAGGAAGTAAATTGTTACCTTAAGGTATCATCTCTTATCATGTGAAAGGAATCAATGAATATTGAGGGCATGAAATGGGAATGATGGTGGTGGAGCTCATACCTCCTGTAAAATTTATAGTTTGTACCAAAAAAAATTTATCCTAGTTTTTTGCCTTTTCATGATGAGATAAAAAAAATCTATGCCTTCCCTAGAGAAATTTAATCAATTGCCAATTCAGAAGTGCAACTGTCCTCCAAAGTTACTAATACTGTTAACCCTCCACTGGGTGTGAATTTTAGGAATTGAAACTAACTTTGAAAATCTTTAAAATATAAATTAAGATTGTGAGCCCAAAGAATACCTATAATTATAGGTATTATAATAGCTTCAGTTTCATGATAAATGTTAACACTTTAACGAGCCGGTGATGAATGTTTCGTCATCCAAAAAAAAACTCCTGTTGGCTTTCTGATGACAAAAATATCGTCATCAATTTTAAAAACTCGCCAAAAATCTATATCGCATGATTTTTATAGTTCAAGGCTCAAAATGTAAGCTGTTGTTTTTCAATTCAAACTGCACAACTGGGTGGACATGGGGTGTCAGGATAACCACCCTGTGGGCGTGCAAGCCTCAGTGTGTCCTAAGGATTTACAGTGCACGGACACTTCCTGCTTCTTCATGATAATCATACGTGTATTTGTATAATAGTATTGTAGAGCAATCATTTGTGAAGAATACACATTTAAAGAAAATGAAATGCATGACAAAATAATGTCAGAAAGAAGAAAATAGTATAAACATTTATACAGTAGTGTGATTGTCGTCAGCTGAGCATGCCCTATCCACCTTAAGTAGTGGCAGCAAGTGTTCTGTGGGGCCCCGAAAGTGTTTGCCTCTTTTGTGATCTGTT